ATTTTTTGACTGATGAGGTCGCGCTGAAGGTCCTTATACTTTCGACCCATCGAACACAACTGGCGCTGCAAATTTTCGTTCTGCTGCGTTACCTCCGCTAGACTTTGGGCTAGTTCCTCCATTTGAGATTTGAGGCAGCACATGTCCTCGCGATAGCAGCACTCTTTCGTAGACATTTCCTCGGCGGTCGCCTTAAGGTCGTTCTCCAGCTGCTGCGATCGTCGCCTTTCTTGCTCCAGCGTCCGCGTCATCGGGCCGTGATACTTCTCCATGCAGTGCTTTAATTCCAACTTTACATCTTCAAGCTCGCCGGCTATCCGAGCATTTTCTTCTTGGAGATTACTGATAGCTCTCCCGCTTTCGTCGTTTACCCCACAATTTCTACTTCTACTTTCACACGTTTGGTTTGTAAGTTTTAGGCTACTCAAAAGAGCCTGTTCGCGCGTTTCCATCTTGTGCACTTGCTGCTTTAACTTCTTCTCTCGATCTATTAGCTCGTAAAGGGTGGAAATATACTGCATGTCCATCGAGTTAAGGGAGATGGATAAATCGTTGCACTCTTCGACTTTAGGAGTTGCAACTGGTGGAGCGTTTGTCCTTACTCTGCTCGATGAGGGGGTTGGTTCAAATAATTCCGAGCAACAGCTGCAGATGTCATTGTGGCTTGAACTTATTCTTCTTTTCAGGTTTAGTAATCGTTGTTCAAGATTACACTGCTGCTCTTCCAACTCGCATGTACGGTTTTCATGTTTCCTGATCATCGACATCCAAAATTTGTCATCTTTATTGTCCATCTTGGGTGTTTGTAAAATGCACTGATAATTTTGATTTTCTTCGAACTGGAATTTGGTGACTTTAAAGTGACGTCTAATTAATTGTTTCCAACCTAACCAACGCACACCTTGTGACGTGAGTTAAGATGTCATCGCTGTTTCTCAAAACCCGCCAGTTAGCTCAGGGATGTGACAGTAAAAACACATGAGATACTTTAGGGCGGTTAGTTCATAGGGCAAAAAATCTTCGTAGTTTGTAATGATCCTAGGGATCTATCAAGCCGACACTGAAAACGTTGACTTACCCTATACTTACCTGGGAAACACTACGAGCAGAGCCATCTCCCTTTCAAGTCGAAACGATGCACGTTTAGCGGCACTTTTGAATTTGAATTGCAGTCGGCTCGATATGGGTGGTACGAATGAACCCCTACGTTGTATAATCGGTTCTTGTACGTGTTGGGACTTGAGACAAGAGAAGAGAATTAAATGAAAGACAGAACTTTTGTGCGTAAGAAATGACAAGAACAAATAAATATATTACGCAGACAACAAGACCATACCAGCGAAACCTTCTACGGGACAAAAACCCCGGCATAGGCAACACAAACACTCGAAATAAATCACCTACAGCGTCGAAATTCAAGAGAAAGTACACATAAACAAAAAATCTCAAATTGTATGAAAAATCTCAGGTAATCGAGTCAAATGCAATTAAACAAATTCATAAAAACAAAACACACGAGACGTCATCAATGCAGTGGAAAACATGATAAAACAATGTAGTACAAAAACACATCAAAATACATGTACGATCAGTTGAGATAACACAACTCGTAAAATAATAAATTGCATGTACATAGGAAACATCAATATGGTGTGGCTCTACTCCAGCCTTCATTAACATAATTTTATTTAACACGAAAAGTACATGTGAGAATGCAAGGCGATTAATGGTAATCGGCGATTAATACGAAAAAGGCCGTCGATACGAAAAAGGCGGCCCATGGAAGATTAGACATCCTCATCTAGTGTACAAGGCTGTCGATGGCAATCGGCAGTTGATATCGAAAAGGGCGATTTTGTTCAGTTACGAATTAATCAATCGCATTAGAATTAATCTTGAGTACTAGCGGCAAAATGTCGGGCCCATATCAGCAGTATATACATGTACCTTTCAAAACTGTAAAATTGCACTTATGGATTTATATATTAATTGTTCTTCTAGTATAAAAACAGTCACGTCAATCATGGCAGGTTGCCGACCACTGAAAAACTGGTCGCTTGTGAGGTGTAAGCAAATTATGCTACTATATCTTCATCTCTAGGTAGCTCATGCGAAGAAAATGGCAAGTTTTGCAGTGGGCGGCTACCCGCAACCGTTTTTCTATAAATCCTTTAGATCCCTTAAGTTCGTTAGAACTCTCAGATCCTTTAGATCCCCTCAGTAGCGGTCCCAGGATTTGGTAAAGGGATGGGCCCAAACCCGAACTTTGTCCCAATACGGAAAAAAATAAAAGAAATCTGATGAAAAAAAAGGACAATGGGGGGGGGGCTGGGACCGCCACTTGATCCCCTTGATCCTTGACATCTTTAAGATCTTTGATATCCTCTAGATCCTTTAGGTCCCTCAGATCTCTTAGATCCCTCAGATCCCTTAGATCTCTTGGATCCCCTAGATCCCTTAGATCCCCTAGATCCTCTAGATCCACTAGATCCTCTAGATCCTTTAGATCCCTTATATCTTTTAGGTCCTTTAGATCCTTTACATCCTTTAGCTGCAAAAAAATTAAAGCGAATGAGTAGCTCCATTGTTTAATTAAACAATCATGGCGCAGCTTGCCTCCATATCACTGTAATAATACCAATAATAAGAAATTCGAATTGGGCAAACTTTAGTGCTTTAAATCTTTTGCAAGACATCTAATACATAAATCTATAAGCATAATGGTAAAACATTAATTCAAATTTCTTACTCACGTTTATTTAAATTCGACGTTTTACTTAATATTCTTACGCCATCTAGATATTTCGTTTGTACTCCACTAGCTTTAGATGTAAGGTAATTATATTTATTTTTTTATTTTTAATTTAATCTTAGTATAGATTTTTATACGATGTTCTTTGTTTCGCCGACAGAGGATGTGCAGAGTTTTCTTTAATTTCGTTGGGCGCCCGTATAAAGACGTACACATTATACGGTTACTCCACAATTTTTGTCAGCCTTTTGGGAATTTTATTGGTGCTGCATAAGTTTTAGTGAAGTTTTCTCTTGCTATTTTGCTTTTGACACTTCGCTGACGCTTTGCGGATATATTATACAAGTTCTAAGGCCGTTTTCGGTATGTTAACAAAAATTACGCATTTGCCTTTTGACTTTGAATAATCATTATTTGGCTTCTTACTCTTTTCTTTATTATTACCTACCGGATTGTGCTTTCTACATCGATATTCCTGAGTGGAAACCGCCGCATTTTAGAGTTTTTACGCAAGGAAGATTCATTCGGGTAGGTAGTTCTACAAGTCAAGCACGCCATAGATGAGTTTCTACATTACCGGCTTGGAAAATTTTACTTCAATTCTACCAACTTTTACCTGCCACAGACGAAGATTCTTGACCTAGATTTCGATAATTGTTCCTAGGATTAACGAACCGTTTGGAGAACGTAGCGTCCTTAGGTGTAACGACTAAGTTAAAAACTTGTTGTCACATTTTCATTAAACGTTTATTTATTAAAAAAAATTATCTACTGGTTTTCGATACAATCGATCGATTATAGCTCCGTTGTTTTCTAATGAAACCTGTTTTGATAGTAATATTTTCTTTGACTACTTGAATTTGTAACGCTATCGATTAGTATTAACGATTTGGCTTCCGCTTAAGTAATCTTCGATTGTTACGTTTTATTTAGTATTCCTTACGTCATCTAGGTATCTTCTTTGTAATCCACTAGTTTAGGTGTAAATTATTTCTGTAGTTTCTTTGTTTTCGTTGTTATAAATTTCTTATTACTATAGTTATTTGTGTCGCCGACCGAGGTCGTGCAGTGTCTTCGCTGGTATTTCTGGCTATCCCTTCTTTAATTCAATATTTCGTGTAGTTTGTATTTCTTTTCCCCTTTAGTAAAATGTCTGCCTTCGAATTGATTACTTGCAAGTGTCTCTTGGTAACCAATACGCTTACTGGATTCGTGTCAACCCTGTTACCAGGGATTTGTTTTGACTTTACCATAATTAGCTTTGGCGTGGTTATCTCTTTCTCTTTGTTGTCTTGGTGACTTCATCGACTCGTTTTACGGATTAGTATTTGCATCCAATACGAGATTCCATTATGACGCAGGTGCGTATGTATTTTTAGGGTTTTGGCTCAAGTTTTACCTTTAATTTCATCACCCTTTGCTTATAGTTTTCTTATTATTCCCCATCGATATTTCTTTTGGATTACCTTTTACGTTGTACTTACCTGGATTTTACTTACGACCCGCATTTGGACTCGCCATTTTTGCAAGAGCGCAGGATGACGCGTTGGATGTTTCTACATTACCGGCTGGAAAATTTTAGTTAAATTCTACCAACATTACCTGGTACCAACTTACACATGAAGTTCATTGACCTACCCTTAGATATTTGTTCATGAGTTGTAACTGCAATTATATTACGAAACCTTATTATTACTGTTATACCTGACACTACGTTGAGAAGTTTCACCCTGTATATACAACTTACGACGATGCATATATTTTTGAGAGTTGGCAACCATGCCATTTCTAGGTGAGAAAAAACTGCCTGCGCCATCTAAAAATCACGAACTGGGGTTACGTTCGGCATCTTGTCTTGAATGGCGGTCGTAGTAATTTTTGCATTTCTTTATATCGTATATGTGTTTTGTATGCAGCATTTTATATTTTTTGTGTTTCAATCTATGCTTTTTAAATTTACTTGGTTTAACCGCAATGCAGAATGAAATGTTTAATACCGTTATCCTATTGTTTATAATTGTTTACGTTTTGGTGTAATGCTTGCTTAATTTATGTTTATTGATGTTGATTACTTGGTCTTGTCCCTGAAGTAACATTCATATAAGTTTTGATCGAGGTTTTGATCATTTTGTTTTAATATGTGGAAATTACCGATTCGTTTGATGTATGTACTGACTTGTTTGTAACAAACAATTTTCTCCGTGAATGAAAAGTCACGGAGGTGGTAAAAACTGTAGGTAGTCAAAATTGAGCTACGACACCTAATTCCGTGATTGTCTTCGACTTTCAACTGTAGGCTCGAAACACCGAAACCAGGGGCGGGTTACCTATCTTGTAGAAGCGGGATTACGCTAAAAGTGGAAGAGCGAATGCAGTTTCTGTTGATACTGCAGTCGAACTTCGCCCAATTAGCTACCTAGCATACAGAATTTGTTTTTCTTTTGTATCGTATGCATGTATTCAGTTGTGAGTAGCTAATAAAAGTCATTATTATTATTATTATTATCGTTTATACCTTGGAGAAAATACCTAATACAGTTCTAATTGTAAACTGTATCTGTTCCTTTTCCATCTCGTGACCTCTACCGGACAGTGCGTAAGCAATGTGAGAAAGGGGGGGTCCAAAAACAACCGTTTTTCAATCAACCAAGGGTTCAATGTGTTTCCTTTCGAGTAACAGTAAATTTTGTTTATTTTTCTGGTGAAACGTGTTCTTTTGAAAGGGGGGACTAGCTTATTACAGACTTTTCATACTAAAAAATAAAAATTGTGAAAAACATATCTTAAATTCTGAAATTTAACACACTCTGTATATAGCAAAGAATTATGGAATTACTAAATTTATACATTCCTGAATTTCTCGCACTAAATACGTGGGCACACTCTCAACTACTTCTTCCAATGATTTTTGTACGGCTGCCAACGTACTGCTGTCCAATTGATACAAATCAGAATGATAAATATCGCCCATTTGCACACAAAACGACAAGAGATCTTTCAAAATGAATAAAGTCTGGAGAAGTTTCTCGTAAAATCCGATTTCGAATAAAAAACACTGTTCGTGCGCCAAAATTGTCCCCTTCATTATTTCCAGACTCGTACACAGCTCGGTCAGAACCACGGGCCGTATGAAGGCAATGTCTTTAAATAGTTTCACGATTTGACTGACTGTGGTCAAGACAGGTATCTAAAGAGAATAATTTTACCTTAACAATATCAGATTATGATTACTTACGTTTGGCAAAATTGAAAAATCGGATTCGCGTAATAATTTCACCAGGCCCACCAGAAAACCGCTTACAGCTGTTTCTCTCGTGGAAAATTGAAACGGAGTACTTGTGCTTACCGTTTGAAAATATATATGATCTAAGGCTTTGAAGTAGTTACGAAGGGTGTCGCAGTTCTGGGTGATGCTTTGACAGGTTTCGTTGGTGTTATCTCGTTGGTCGTTGATGAGGTCCGTTATTGATCGAGTCACGGACTCGGTTATGTGGGTGACTGCCAAATTGACAGTTTGCGTAAAGTGTGGCGACGACGATAGTATCTCGACACATTCAGCTCGAGTTGCCATCGGCCTGATGTCTTCATTGAAAGTCGACGATTCCAAACGTTCTAGCAGCTTGTTAATATCGCAGTGTTCGTTTCCACAAATGATCGTCACCACATTTAGTAGGCGAACTGCTTCGGTCACATCGAGAGCGGTAACTTGCGGTTCAAATGCAGAAGAATCAACCTCCATCTCTCAGCTGCTATTTCAAATCGAACAAAATGGAGGTTTTTGTTTTAAAATTGGTGGAATCAGGGAGGCCAAGATTTACCATAGATTAAAGTGGCATATACAAGGTGAACGGCCAGTATTGAAAGCTCTTCAAATGTAAAAGCATTGAATTTATAACTATCAGAAGCGCAGGTTAAATGGCAGGATATGTGACTGTTTTCAATAGTTTAAATTACAAGACGTAGATGTCTCTACCATCGAGAAAGATGAATAATAATGTCAGTTTTTTACCTTTGTTAATTATTATACAGGAATCTGTAATGAACCCACTATCTCGATTTGTAATTGTTGTATACAGAATTCTAGATACCCAAGAAACGTACTTATAAGGCATTTATGTGGCACACAGGATGTTGAATGACGTAAGATAAACATTCTTCCTTTCATGAATCATGACCTTACTTAACATTCCTTAAGGAAGATTGAATTACATTTGAACAGGAAAGCAAAAAATACGCAGGCATCCTTGATCACTGTAACAGAAATTAAATGTACCTACCTATCTATTCTTAATTTTTGTGTGTGTCGGTTAAACCGTTGCCACCGGTTAAACTACCTAGGACAGGGGTCGGCAACCTATTGAAACGGAAGAGCCAAAAATTACAATTTACACAATTTCCCAGTTCTTAAAGAGCCACAAATAATTTTTGATTCAATATTATAGTTTTTGGCTATATACAGGGTCCTGCAACAGTCCGTCGGTTTTTCCTACATACCTGATAGATACCTGGTAAAAATATTGGTGGTTGCGGATCTACAGAAATTATTTTTGAATGTACAGGGTGTTCCATTTTTACGATGTCAATTAATAACTGATCTTTTTAAATAGAACATCCTGAATATTTGGTTGTTTCAATGCCGTTTGTTCAAAGTGCTATAACTATTCTTTTTCAAATGGAACTACCACTATTTTATTTCGCTATTCGCTTTCGTCTTCTCTTAAATGTTTATAAGGGGTGCCCTGTGCTTAAACTCCGCAGTGTTTAGGTTATTCAATATTTTTCACAAAAGTACCTACTCATTAATTAATTATGTGTTTATACATCGGAGTAGGCTGGCTATAATTAAAAAAACAAAAGAATACCAGAAAGTAAACAAGTGTCAAAAATTAGATAATTATTTGCTGCAAGTATACTTTTGATACAAAATAAGATTAAAAAGGCGAATTTCGAACAAATGAACTAATTTCTTTAGATAAATACGGAGAGCCGCAACTTTATAGGTATCAAAAGAGCCGCAGGTTGCCGACCCCTGATCTAGGATCACACGTCACACCGGGCAATTTTGATACAAAATAAAAAGGTCGTTAACCTCTTTTCTTTTAAATTCTGACGTTTGAAATTTGTTCTCAATGGTTAATCGATAACTTATCGATAATTATCGATTAATAGATAGTCAATCGATAAATTTAAAAAAAATGGTCGACCGGTCAACAAAAAAAGAATTTTTGCGCATGGGATTTACACAATATATATTCTGACTATAATAAGCAAAAATAAATAAAAAGTGCGATTAAGACATTGAAAATATTTGCTTTTACAAAAGCTACAGCGATTTGATTGAAAGCTTTCAGGGGCGAAAATTAAAGCTGGAATCTTTGTTTTCCCTAAAAAAAAAAAGAAAAATGGAGGGTGATATTTTTCCGCGGTTACTTAGCAAAGAGGAGAAAAAATCCTGGAACAGTTTTAAGGCAATAGTCCATGGTTTCCCGTTCAGTGTTTCCTGGGAAACCATAGAGCTGAAAATTATGACGAGCTGACAGGATTTGGTTTTGTATCATGGGGTATAGAATGTCTCTAAAGAATAAAGATGCACAGGTTACATTCTCATTTAGGATAATATGGGAGCTTATTCGGAATAAGGACAACACTTTCTCGAGACAATGGAACTTAGGCACCTTCCCAAGGCCAGGAAGTTGGAAGCATGATGGAAGATCACATTCAGTTGAACATGACAAAAACAGCAAAACTGTTCCATTTTTAAACATTTAGACTCTAAGATAAACAAATTATAAATGTAGAAACGTTACCATTTAATAAATCATGCCTATGTAAGTAGGATTCTATAGGTATTCTTATTTTTTGGTTTTTTGCATTTTTTTCACACAAAAACAAATACATATCCATTTTTGTTCTAATTCTTATTTGTGGCTATAGAAGCAATAAAAATAAGGTATATATGTCCCATGCGCAAAAATGCTGTAGATCGGTGTAATTTATCGAAAATGTTAAAGGATTGGTCGATAAACCTATAATTTCCGATAATCTATCGATTAATCTCACAACTAAACTATTAAGATAGATAATTATCGAGAGAATTTTTAACGACATAAACTTTTCAATGTTTAGGTATACCAGTTTACATCCAACAAAAGCGATGTAAGAGCATTGTTGAGTTGCCATATGATCACAATTCACAAAAATTATCTCTCGCAATACCAATACCAAAAAAACAAAAGTGTTAGCGAGTGTACGCATGGATGATGTAATATATCGATTGAGAATATATATCGATGAGATTTATGAAAAAGTATCGATAGTTTTCTCTTGATAATTTCCGCTACTTATCTATTAATCGATAAATATCAGAGATAGACAATTTTCGTGGCAATAATAATCGATTATTATCAGCAGCTAACAATCATTATTAATTATTTTTCAAAGTTATCGATAATTATAAAAAGTTATCGATAATTATCAAACGTTATCGATCATTATCGAAAATTAGCGTTACGATTTATCGATAATTTTCGATTATTATCGAAAGTTATCGATAAGTGTTTAAAGTTATCGATAATTATCGATAGTTATCAATTAACGATTAATCGATAATTATCAGACTGAACAGACTTATCGATAAATCGATAACAATTTCATTTATCGCTCAGCTCTAGTACTTAGTAGGTATACGAATTCACGTAAACTGGGACCGATTTATTTGTGCACAATGCTGCATGGTTATAAAAAAAGCTGATTCGCGAAATTTAGTTATCAAATGTGAATGTGGAAATGATGTAGCTGCCAACTGCCAACAATTCCACTACTGGACTGTTCTGAGGTTCATTTAAATTTGGGTAAATTTCGCCAACTTTTTTTATACCCTGGCAGCATTGTGCACACAGCAAATAAAATTAACACATCGGTTCCAGTTCACGTGAATTCGTATTCTGTCAACGCGGCGGCAAATGTGTTGGTACGTTTTTTCTCTTCTCGCTGACCGTTGGTTTTCAAAATTCAAATGCTTGCAACGGACAATATTTTGCCTTCAAATTTTTTTTGATCGTTTTTTAATAACAAAATCTCCCGCTTTCAGTAAAAATGTGGAACCTGCCTATTGTACTGCCTGTGAATATAATGTATGAAATTGCATTCCTTCAAGGACAAGGACTGCAAGCTTCGTTCGTCTAAATGTATTATTATTTACATTACAAATTTACGCAATGCTTCTTAAGGGATCTATTTTTAGAACATTCCAATCCTATTTATAAAACCATTCCAATGATAACACAAAAAAACATCCCGAGTTCCTGACATCTAACGATTAAAAAGGAAAATATTCGAATGGTCAAAATAAATGGTTTGTAATGCTGCCATCTAATGTCAATGTAACGCTCCACTTTCGAACGCCCACGGACTTTCAAACGATCGAACTGCCCCTAGCGGCGGCCAGTTGGCACATGGTCACAAACTGTTATATGGGTCCGCGCTTCTGATAGTTATAAATTCAATGACACTATGTACCTGTACCCTACATAGGTAGTAATTCAAAATTTCAATTAAAATACCCACATCCACAGTGGAAAACTGAATTAACCAAAGAGACTATTAAACTTCTGGTGTCAACATAAATGTACCATCATACAGTGTGTTCGAGATAATAATAATAATAATAATAATAAGAGAGTCACCTCGATATCTCTTTTATTTGGGGAGATAATGAAAAATTTGTCAAATATAATTTTATATGTGACGTATCTATCCTATAGCTACTATATACCGGGTGGTGCACGGTAAGTAGGAACATAGGGATTTAACGTGGGAAATTAGTTTTATGCAATATCCTGCCCTCCTGTACATTTTACAGAAAAAACTGTAGAGTTTAAAGTTGTTCAGAATTAGATGGTGCATACAAAACTGTTTTACCTGTTTTATTAAGCTTTTGGTATACTCGCAAATTTAAAAATAAATTACAACATTTCTGTTATTAGTAGCAATAGCCATGACTGTTGTTGTCTTATGAATTACTATACTAATAACAGAAATGTTGAATCTTCAAAACAGCATTTTTTAAAAGAAGCTTTTAGGCATTCAAAATTATAAAATTTGTTACTAATCTACGTAATTTAAATTTGTGGTCAGTGGCGTACTCCTGCATGGTCAAAGGGGCACATTTTTTTTAAATACCAACCACTAGTTTTCATTACATATTCTTAAAGAGTATACTTTTTTGGATATAGCAGCATAAAAATGTATTATTTACCCATGATAGAAAAGAGGTAAAAACTGCTTTAGATATTTTACAAAGAATCCAGTGGCGTAATCAAAAAAAATTTTTACCACCGTTTCCGAGATTTGACCCACAGTTGGCACTTTTAAATGCAACACTCTATATATCTTAACGTCAAGTTTTTTTAAATATAAAATACACTGAGCGACCAAAATATGGAACACATTCGTTTTAAAATCATGTGTAAAATGCTCATACACTTCTATCATAATTATTTTCTTGCGAATTACTTGCACCAAAGAGAAAATATACAGGTTGCGTTACGGTACCAAAGTTGATTTGTTTAAATGGAATAGTATTTTTTTAAATCCATGCATAATTTGACAGAATTTAAAAAATACCATTAACAATATCAAGTTTGGTATCAAAATTACTTTTTGGCGCACACTGTATATTTTCTCTCTCCTCGCATAGATAATGGAACACTTCCCTACTCTCTTATAAGAGATACGGTTTTGGTAAAGTAACAACCTTAACGATTATTTTGACAATTTGGAGAAGAAATAGACAGTTTTTCCTATACCTAC